TTAAAAGTAATTTCCCTGTGATTGTTCCATTGCCTATAAAAGCTTCTCCTTTGCAGGAATAGTCTGTGAGTAGCTAAATGTTTGGCTCTTACGCTCCTTGTGGATGTGGCACAGGCACCTCCTCTCTAAATGAGCCTGTGTTGACATCCTCCAAAGACCAAACATAGTTGCATTGAACTCATTTTCTTCAGAGGAACTCTTCTCGAGCTGTCTCTAACTTTTCAGTGTTTTAAGGTAAAAGGGATAAGGTATAGGGGTTCTCTAAGAGAATTTAACATTTTTTGTTTTTATTTCTTTGGTAGTTGAAGTACATTTACTCACCTATAAGCTTAATCAGAAGGAGTCTTATATCATACTCCGCCAGGCAATTTTAGATGTCTGTCATGTGTGATCATGATTCATTTTTGGCACCGAGTATTATTCTTTAAACTATCACCAGTGAGTGGTAGGACAGAGACTGACTAAATGTTTAAGTGATGTGTTTGGACCTCACATAAATCAACAGTCCATATTCCTGAGAGTTTTGCTGTAGCTAAATAGAGGAAAGCACATGTTAGTCTGAGCCTGCCAAACTGAAAAGAATCTATACTCCAGCAGCCAGGACTGTATGCACAATGTAAGCACCAGTTTACTTTCATCAAAACGTGATTACTTGATATTAAATTAATATCATTAATTTGAATTATTATTGGCTTTATATTTTTAATTTGTATATATGTTAGGGCTCTGCAGTTATATACAACTCTAAGCATAAGGAAAGTTATTCCTAGTTTTATGTCGGTACATATAAATATGAGCATGTAATGTAATGAAATGTAATAAAAATAAAATTTTAGGTAATATTTAGGTAACATAGTAAAAAAACCCTTTACAATAGATTTGTCCTTGAGTGATGTCAGAGATAAACACAGCGATACATTGCTGAAAGCAGGGAAAACAGAGTTTCTTCCATCACTACTGACAGTAGGGGAAAGACCTGAGCTCCATCCTGGTATGTGAAGAGGTGACTGGATGATGGCAAGGTAGAACGGGGGAGGGGGAAATGGTGGGGACCTGAGCAGAGTCAGGGAAGTGAAAAATTACAAAAAGCAGGGAAGGGCTGGTCCATGTATGTCTGGGTTTGCCAACTGGCACTTATCCAGCCTCAGGCCCCTACTCTCCTAGGAGACCCAGAGACAGGCACCCTATTTTGAGGTGGGCTGGAACAAACAGTAAATTCTTTGGGCAGCCTTGAGTTTTCTAAGGCAGCCATTTTAAGGGGCTCTAGGGTCTTCCTAGCGATGTGGCCTTGAGCTGTTAGAAATATGTTAGTATTTGTTCAAGTCTTTCTAGGCCAAGGTTGAGGCCTAGTGGAGAAGAGGGCTCAGAGGAGCCTGGCTAGAGTTTGGTCAAAGAGAAACCCTTTGCCAGTGATAGTTACAGAGTGGTAGTATGCCCTCACTTTCTTACGATAAGCAGTGACTGCTGTGTAGTAACCATTGTTAAGAGAGCTTGATTTTAAAACCTTAACTGAAAAAACATATGAAAAATTATGCTGTTTTGTTTCAGGGCCGAGATCTGGACTGTAAAATTCAGGAATATAAAGAAGCTGGAGAAACCTTTCCAGAAAGTCAGATAATAGAGTGGTTTATCCAGCTGTTGTTGGGAGTTGACTACATGCATGAAAGGTATGTTCATTTGTTACTGGGGATCAGAATTCCTTTTTAACAGTCATGCCTGAACTTGAAAAATGAATTTTGGAGGGTAGAATTAAAAGGAAGCACGTCCAAAAATAAGTGACTATAGTTAAACATCTAAATATGCTTTTGTGTGGGGAAACCTTTTGAATGATTATATCTTGAAGATTTACTTGAATAGCTTTTTGTTGTTCTAGAAATCAAGTTGGCCTTGAATACAAAACAGAAGCTTATATTAAACACAATCCCCTATATCTGATCATATCTCACATACCTTTAGCATGCTATGACTTTCTTACATCTTACAGCAGACTTGAGCTATAAATACCCTGGGATGCTAAAATGAATTGCGTGTTTGCCGTGGAGTGTCAGTGCACATTTAGGTATGTGTTCACTTCCCAAGGTGAGCTAACTGAGACAGAAGATATTCTTTGACCTCAGAGAGATAACTACTCAGACCCAAAGTCAGTTTTGACTTGAAATAGCTAATAAAGAAGGCCAAAGTATGTTTTATGAGTTTAATTGTCTATAATTTATATTTACAATCTCTGCCTCAAAAAAGTATTTTAAAACTTTCAATTATTTTTAGTACAGGTAAAAAGTAAGATGTTTTAGATGTTAAATGTTTTACAGACCCATAAAATGGTATGAACATGTTTGAAAAGAACATACATAGACAAATAAAGGTAGATTCTATGAGATGTCCATGTTAGTTTTCAATTTAGGAGTGGGCGGAACATGTGGAAACATCCTTTTTGAACAAAATTGGAAATTTATAGGGTACACCAAGGTCTGGCAATCCATGGATGTCAAATAGCTTAAATGTGTTATTTGTAGTATCTGATTTCATAAAAAGTAATTGGATTATTTCGTGCTTTGCCATGTGTCCTTTTTTTTTTTTTAGCTGAGCCATCCTGCCACCTGTTGGCAGCTCAGCTTGGGCTGGAAATCGAACCTCAGTTGCTCAGAGCTCACACTCTTGAGCGAGTTCTTAGCCAACTGAGCCACTCGGCCAGCCCACCATGTGTCTTTTGAAACACGTGCTCCGTGATACATATGGCCACCCACTTATTGACAATGATCTGTATTGACTTATTGACAGTTCATAACAACCTTTTGATTGATGTGAAACTATCCTAAGAGACCATGATAAAAGAATATCAAATAATCTTTTAATAAACCCAAAGCTGTTGAATGTAGGACATCTGTGTACATACAGTTTATATTGCTATTTCTTTCATTTTTTTTACTATTTCATGGCATATTTATTAGCTTACACATAAGGAAAACAACACATACAAAGATGCCAACTTTGGTGTTCTGTGTGCAAAAATAGAAAACTGAAGTCTGATTCATTTAANTTATTTCATGTCACTTCTTAAGATAAAAATGAGTTCTATTTTATTCCTATTCATGCACATTTGCCTCAGCAGGAAGAACACTTACTCTAAACGAATTTTTAAAAAATTAGCAAATCAACCCAGGAATGTTCATTTATGTTATTAGACATGATACTGCATGGCATTCTTTAGTAACTATTTAGAAACTAGATTTTCTTATTTTGCTTTTAAGAGCACTATATGGCCTGACATTTTCCCCACTAGTTATGCACTTCATTACAGTGAATTTTCAAAATTCTGAGGGAATATCTTCAAGTTCAACATGTATTTGTGTTCTCCTAAGTAATGTTACAGGCTTTAAAAATATGTCATTATAAAATTATTCTTATTCAAAATGTCATTATAAAATGATTCTTATTCAACCCTGACTTTTCCAAGTGCATATTTTGCCTTTGGAATTTTTCAGACTATTGGACAAAGTATTTCCATTCATGGGTGAAATATTAAGTATATGGCCCATTTGTATTATTATCAAGCAGCATTTTCTTAAAGTGTGGTCCATGGACCCCCTGGGCCAGAGCCATTTAGGATGCTTTTTTAAAAAAAAACAGATTCCTTGGTCTTCTCTAGATTTATAGAATCAGAGTCTTTGTTGATATGGCCCAGGAATATGCATTTTAAACAAGTAACTTGGATGATTCTTATGCACGCTAAAATTTGAGGTCCACTGAAAGGCTGCATTAGAAGCTGTTTTTAGAGGAGATGTCAAGTGTGAAGAAACAGCATTTTAAGATGTCAACCAAGTGAATGAATAAGGAGCAGCTTTTCCAGTTTAAAATGAAGAAGTAGGACAGAACAACTTTTCCAGCTCCTCAAGCCCTAAAATCCTGAGATGGTTTTGTCCCTCGTGAATGCTCTGAACATTGCAGTTTCATCGTATTCAGGCTTCCGAGAGGGCTGTACTTTGTCCTTTTAAACTGGTTGCAAGTGCTTCTATTGATGACTCAAAAAAAAAAAGAATTAATTTTTTAAAAATCCCTTTTAATGGCAATCAAATATAGAGCTTGGATACTGTATTTGAGTCGTTTTTCATTTCTTCAAGGTCTCGGCATTTCAAAGTCAATCTGATATTAGCTAACTAGGATGGGCTAGGGAGGAGATACCATTAATCTATCAAATGGGACGTTTTGGGTTACAGATTTTCAAAACTTCAGAAGTTAACATCAAGGTTTAGAAGCTAACATCAAAGCAAACACAAAACAAAGAGTTTTTCTTGGAGATAAACATGAAAAATGAAAATTGTAAGGGGAGTATAATAACTTCAGGATGAGACCCAGCTCTCTGATTAATTTAATCTTTTGGTATTCTAGTTCTTCTTAACACTAAGAACTAGTACATCCCTTCTTTTTATGGTTCTACCCAGAGAGCAAGGGAGAGTTTGTGTATCTCCTTTTGACATGATACTTTGAGCTACCATTAAAGAAGGGCCCTATTTTTTTTTCAATAGTCTATATATTATTTATTTAGTCACAGGAAATTGTGCACACATTTAATATCAATGTGGGAAACAGACAACAACTTCTTTTTTTATAATTTTTTTATTTTTTTTATTGGGGAATTGGGAGAGGGGAATAGTGTTGGGGAATCGGGGAAGAGGGACAGACAAGTTGCTGTCCTTTTGTTCTTTAGTGTAGTTGTGGAAGATGTCGCTTCACTGGCCCATGTTGGTATTATCATTGCGCTTTTCATGGCTGAGGCAGATTGGTCGCCGGCCACTGGACGGCCGCTCACGGCGGCTCTTGGCAGCTCACGCTGGTTGCCAGCCACTCATGGTAGCTTATGGCAGCCTACTGCAGCCCCACTGCAGCCTATGCCATCACCGGAGACTCATGGCAGCCCAGCTCCAGGTCGAGCTGTTGTTCACCATCTTAGCTGTAGAGGGCACAGCATCAATGGCCCTCATATGGGATTTGAACCCAGGTCCTGCTGCTCATAGCTGGCATCCCAAGCCAACTCTTAACCA